TTACTCAAGTGATTTATCATAAAAGTTTTTAAAGAGTCATGGAAAAGTCATGGAATTTCCTTTTCAAATTTGAGTGGCCACCCTCAAATTTGAATTTAAAAAAATATTTTCTTTGCAACCCCCAGTAATCTCATTACCCCCAGTTTTTAGTATCATCCTCATCTATATTGAAAAATGCTATAAGTGTTTTAACTCCTCTTTATACATCTTAAATCGTTATTACGATAATGGACTATTTGCATGTTGTTTTACATAATAAATTGTTAAAAAAATTCTCAATTTCATTTGGAATATTAAAGGTAAGTTTCTACATGTCATTTCTGCACAAAATTTATTTTGCTTCACAAGATCATTTTTAGTCCCATTTTTACTCCCACTACATTATTCACCCTATATATTTAACTTTCCATATATATCTAACTTGTTTCCAGCTTTCTTGATTGTTCAAAAAATACGCTTTACGTTTACATTAGCGGTTATGTTGAAAACATTTAGTTCATTTCAGTTTCACTCTTTTTAGTATATAAAGTTAATATGTTATCAACAAATTTTTATTAAATAGAAACCTGGCACACAACGTTATCAGTAAAAAAAAAAAGACCATGCGAATTATGGTTTGTTGGGTGTCCTCAATGCGAATGAGGCTGTTAAATATTTCTTTAAACCAGGCTACAAATAAATTAAAATTTTATTTCACATTAAACTTCTTTACTTACGTACTTGATGGATGACCCCTCACTAGATACTAAAATAAAATATACAAAAAAATAGTATTAAGGTTAATAATAAATAACTGATTATCATAAAAACTTACATTGCATAATTGAATTTGAAATTGGCATAACTGATTGCTCAAATTGCAAATTTTGAGTCTATTGTGAAGAGCTAGAGAATATTAGTGGGCTGTGAGGTAGTGGACTTTGAAGTGGTGGACTTTGTGATAATGACAGAGGTGCAAGTTGTGGCGATGCTGAAGAAAATGGTACTGGTGTAGTTTAAAGTAAGTTAAGAAGTTGTATATGCAGTGTTGTTGGAGCTTGGGTGGACATGCTAGGTTACTTAAGCTATCTTTGTAAGTTAATTTAAACTTTTTCTTATCTTTTGTTTGAGTTTCCTTGTCCAAAATGTATAGAGGCTGTTTACAAGTTCGCCCATTTTTGTAGTCCGTTGACAAATAATTTCAAGTTTCAAAATATGTTTTGCAGTGTTTGTAAATATTTTTATGTGATTCTAGAAAAAAAACAAAAGCAGATAAATATCTGACAAACAAAAAATTTAAAAAATAATAGATAGCCAGGTCAATAATCCAGTTAGAGAGTTAGTTAGAAATGTTACTTTAAAATGAAATGATGAATGACATTTGACTAGAATATTCATCTAGTCAAATGTCATTCATCTAGTCAGAGATTCAGTTAACATAACGCCCAGCTAACACAAACACATTGGTCGAGCAATGTTATCTCCTGGATAGCAATTTGGTTTATTTATTACTATGCTCACTTACCATGTTGATATAGTATATACTTAATAGTTTCCCATGTTGTGAGTGCTGGCAACTTATTCTTAAGCATAAACCTTGTCTTAATATATTTCATGTTGGGAAATGCAACCATGTGGAAACCATTTGGGTCCACTTCATCCGACTCCATCCACAAATGTAGAGCAACGGCTATGGATATGTCAACAAATTCTATTAAACGTACATCTAAAATAAAATAGCAAAATAACAAGCGTCTTGTAAGTTAAGTAAGCAATAAATTAGTTTTAAATTTTTATATTTAATAGTTAAACACAAAAATAAAAAATTTAATATCCACACACAAAAAAAACATTCATAAAACAAAGTTATTAGCTAACTAATATGATTAACATAATTTAATGTGTACAAGTATTCAAAACTGGAGCAAAATTATTTTTATAAGAAAATAGTTTATAAATACAATAAACTAAATTAATATTTACAATAAACTATA